AGCACTTATTCTTTGCTGATTGTTTGTTACCTTTGCACTTTCTACAGGCACTTGTGCATGCTCCATTCAACTCGATAAATTTATCAGAGGAAAAAACATCAGCAGTCTGAAGGCCACCATATACCGGTAAGCATCTGAATTAGTTAAAGTGTCATGAAATCAACTTGTTTTAGCACTGCTCATAAACACATGGAAGCTTCAGACATTTATTTATTTTTATTTTTTTGAAAAATATAGTGGTGAGATAGAGTTTAGAGTAATAAATAAAGTCACAACTGTGAGAGCGTTGATTACTAAAATGTAAATAAAAATAAAGCTATTGTAAATAAAAAACTAATAAAAATGACAATGACTTAAACTGAATACTGTATATCAAAATAAAAGCTAATGAATACATATTATATTAGTATAAACAATACTGTACAATATTTTTTGGCTTCCATAGAACCCATGGAATGCATAGGCTTCCATAGAACCCAATGATATTGGCTTTCACTTCTATCAGTGTGAGATTTAGTCACAATAAACATTTATATTGTGTTCCAACTTAAAAATGGGCTTCCATAGAAACATAATGCTGTGTATTTTACATAGGCTACTCAAATTACAGAGCAACGCATCACATCTAAGAGTTTACCAACCATCTCTGATTTTACCCTGACTTCTTGAAAAATAGGGCACAATAAAAACGGAACTATTGCTTTGTTGCATTTTTATGAAGTCATACCTCTATTGCTCTGTCAGGGACATGTACTTGCAAACACAAGAGAAATTGCCACACAGTTGTCATGCAATCTTCTAAAAATCACAATGACAAAACAGTACCATAAGGCATGAAATTTTTTGCTACGTGAATGGCGTGAAAGCTTAGCCTCTAGCACTGAGAGATCGCAAACAGTGAGAGATTGGTAATGCTTTAATGGAACACACAGGCTCTCATTATATAACACAAGGCTTATTGTAAGGCTGAGTGGCGTGAGCATCTCCTTACCCAGCTGATCATCTCACCATAGCATCACTAACAGCCACCCAACATTATGCCATTAATACATTGTCCAGGACCACAACATTGAGTAGTAGTGTAGCGATGCTATTAACATACAGTTGTAATCAAAACTATTCAACTCCCGTTGCAAATCAGGTTTATTACAGACTTTCAGCTGTTTGCAATGAACAAATCAAACAAAAGTAATCGAAATAGCTCAACACAACACGTTTCCCAAAATTCATCTGAAAATGCAACTTTTAAAGTCCCCGTGAAATCAAAATTGAACCTATTTACTTTGTTAGCGCATAATAGTCTTGTGGTGAACAATTAATCCATGCAAGTAAAAATATATAAAAAAAATGTTTTACCATGGTAATCTTTAATCAAAATCTGAAAAGTTACTTCCGGTCTGGAACGGTTTCTTTTTCTGATGACATAGGTTTCACAGTTTGGGTGGGGAAACGCTTAACCACTCCCCTCAAACCATTAGTTTACTATGAGCGAGAGATGGAGAGAAGGAGCGCTAGAGTAAAACCCTGCCCTCCGTTCAATATTCCGTTTCACTTGGAAATACGTCACAGCACTGGAGAAAAATCGTTTGCAACTTCCAGTTCACGGGGACTTTAATCACTTCTGCAGTCTCAAAATTATTCAACCCCCTGAACAGAATCCCTCTCAACAGCACAAATCTGCAAAACAGGTGTTGTCTCAAGCATACCTAATGCAACTATTAATCAAGGGCTTCATTAGTTGCACCAGGTGTACTTGAGATAAAACACATTAAATATCTGAACTGGCTAGGTTTGTTGAGTCACCTTTGACTGCATGTTAGAAATATGGCAAAGTATGGTCCAAGAAATATGGCAAAGTATGGTCCGTAAGTAAAAAGTATGGTCCAAGAATGGCCCATTTAAGAGACGATATCATCTCCCTTCACAAACAAGGAACAGGATACACAAAGATATAAGGCACTAAATGCTCCCAGAGACACTATTGGAAGGATAGTTTGCAAGTTCAAAGTTAAAGGAACAGCAGTTACACCTAGACGGGGCAGAAAAAGGAGACAATCAATTGCTGCAACCAGATTTCTGAGTAGGCATGCCTTGGATTCGATTCTGATTCAGAGGGCTGCGATTCGATGCTAAAACGATTATCGATTATCTGGATCTTTTTATTTGTGTGTGACTATAAATACTTTGCTTTAAAAGTACAAAGCAATGACCCATAAAGAATTATCGTACAATATATTTTATTAACATTGCAAAGAACCAACAGGAAAATAAACGTGTGCCTGAACTAGCGGCATACTTTAGTAAATTAATTAACGTTAGTAAATTAATAATATAGCGACGCCAGGTACAGCCAAGTGTTTTTCCTTTTTCCAAGGTCCAAAAGACATTTTCAGTGCAAACTGCAAACTGTTCAAAGGGCTTTAAACGATTCTAGACGATGAATAAGGATCTTATCAAGCGAAACGATCGCTCCTTAAAAAAAAGTTTAAGTTTTATAAGCATGACGTGATGCACGTTCGTGATTCTCCTGTTCAAACTCATTCATCAAAATGAACGAATCTTTTTCCGAGTCAATTCGTTAATTTCGTTCGTTGAATGAACCAAATGACACGAAAAAAGATTTGTTCATTTTGATAAACGAGTTCGAACAGGAGAATCACGAACGCGCGTCACAGAACAGAGCAAGGGCGACCATTTGAACTTATAAAACTTAAACTTTATTTTGTTTTTAAATGAGCGATTGTTTCACTTGTTAAGACCCTTATTCATCGTCTGGAATCGTTTAAAGCCCTTTAAACAGTTTGCAGTTTGCACTGAAACTATATGGAGAAAAATCCTGGAATGTTTTCATCAAAAACCTTCATTTCTTTTCGACTGAAGAAAGAATGACATGGATATCTTGGATGACATGGGGGTGAGTAAATTATCAGCAAAAGTTAATTCTAGTGATTTGATTAATCATGAACAGTCCTCTCTTATATGTAGGCCTACAATTACAAGTCTGATTCATTAAACTGAATCGGTTCATCCTCATACTGAAAATGTTTAAATTTATTATTTAATTTAATTTTTTATTTTACTAATTATTAGTATATTATACTTTTCAGCCTTCAACTATATATATATATATATATATATATATATATATAATCTGTTTAAATCAGTTTGACCCATACCATAAATCTGATGGAGACAGGGAACATTCTGCCATGTCTCACACGTGAATGCCAGTCACTAGCGTTCTAGATTTGTTAAGCAACGTTCCCTTGCGGGTTCCAAGATGGTCTGCACCACGTAAAAGGGCAGCTGCTAGATATCATCCAGCAGACTGGATGTGCCCGGCCAAGTCTGGATTGCCTTATCACGTAGTCGCACAATGCACCATTGCATGGGGAAGAGCTGATCCAGCCAAACATTTAGAAACTGATTTATGCTTTTATGACTCCCTTCATGATTTATGGTGGTTTTATCGTCATGCCAGTCTGACACGGTTGCATATCCCTGATAAAACAGTTTGTGCACATCAAAAAGGAAATCTTGTTTAAGCAAAACTATATATATATATATATATAATAAACACAATCTTTTAAGTTAGATGCGATTATTTGCTTTGACAGCACTTTCATATACAGGCTAGATAACGTTTTACCACAATATAATAACCTTTAAATTGTCTATTATACATGAGTATGTGGATCCTGTAAATATGTTCTTTGGGTGGATGAAAAGACATATATGCCTTTTTAAAAAATGTGACATGTTCAAGCCTCAAAATGACATTTTAAGACAACTGCAAATCCCTTATTTAGTTCCTAGTTTATGCATCATGCAGATTAAATCCTTTGACCGCCTGGCAGTTTGCACATCTCACTCTGACCTATTTCACATGAATGGTCAAATCGTTGGACTACATTTGTTCTGACATACTATAATGCCCTACTGTAGCTACAGCAGCCATTTTGATATTTAATATATATGGCGATTGTCATATTTGCTTTGCTTTTGTTTATTTTGTTTCCATGCACCTACATTACTTCAAAGGATGGGTGCAACCATGATTGTGGCTTGGGTGGTTAGATTGTGTTGTTCATGGTTCATTAAGTTTAAAATTAAATGAAGAACACAGCTTTGGTTAACAAAGGTGAGAGGGTTTTCAAAATCAGATCATCAATATCCAATCACAAAGGATAAAGTCAGTAATATAAAATGCAAAACTAGTTTCTTAAACATTACCCCCCAGGTTTCAGACAAGACTTAAACCTAGCCCCAGTCTAAAACACATTAGAGCAGTTTTAACTGAAAGCAACTAGCACAGAAAGATCTTAAAACATGTCAGTGCCATTGTTTTGTCTCAAGATGCACACCAGTAATGATTTCCTTTTCAAAGACATTCTACTTAAATGTCCTAATTGAACTAAAATCTAATCTTGGCTTAAAGCCCTGCCTGTGAAACCAGGCCTACATCTTTTGAGAGCAGTTTCCAAGCACTTACAATATGAGAACTGAAGATTAAAACAGTCTTAAAGGACTAGATATACATATCCAATTAGATTAAGGTCATGAACTGATATGCTCAGACATTTTATATGGGTCTAATACACATTTTCTGTCAAGGAACTGTCTGCATTAGCATTTATGACACTGATTTTCATGCATTTTAAGGGGAGAATAAAGGTCACTTCTTTAGACTTGTTTGACTGCTATAGAACTTAAAATGTTTTGGTTGTCCATACAAATAAAAAAGGTCAAAAAAAAAAAAAAAGTTATTTTACACTCCTTTCACAAATTTGAGACACCCCTCAAGACATTACCTTTAATGAAATCAAGCTCAAACCTGCCTTTGCAAAACAGTCATCACGCAATACAACTCTTACGAAACCAGATTAGCAGACACTCACTAACTCCATTCAGGATTAGATATCCGACCCAGCCCGCTGGTAAGTGTTGGCATCTTATTGCACTTGACAAGCCACGCAGTTCTCCAAAAGACAGTGCATTGAGACAGTTTAAGATAATACTTTATTTATAAGTCACTATATTAGATAACAGCACAATATAAAACTTGAAATCTTTTAGAACAAAAAACAAAACCAGTGGCATTACAAACTCGAATAGGTCCTGTTCAAAAGGAAACGATGCATGACAAGCACACATATTTGAACAGCACAAGTGGGAAGTGAAGACAGAAGGCATGCCATGACACATGGACAAGCGCACAAGAGCAGCATTAATGCATAAAACCCCCCTCATTAAAAGGCAAATTGGCTAATATGAAGAACTGAATTACCAGCATTCACATTCTTCTACAGCTTCAAAATGACAAATGTCAAGGGCTTTCTGACTTGGCATCCAGAGTTAAGAAAACAAAACCCAAAACTAGCTGGAATAGATTTACGCTGCTGAAAGTTAAAAAAAACAAACAAACAAAAGAACAAAACAAAAACTTTACTCTCATAGCCCTTTAACTTCCAGTGGAAACCTCCTGAAAGCACCAGAGACTGCCAACTAATTTGGGTAAAAAACCCTTTATGGCAGAGGGGAATCTAGAGCCCTTTAGGTCCTCATCTGCACACTCACTTCCCAGCCCAACAGTTCATGAATTGTCTATTAGATGTTACAAAATCAATCTTATCGTAAAAGGCTACCTCCGCCAATTTCTCTCTTGTAACGACTTGTGAGATGGTCAGCCTGGACCGTGAGCTTGGACAGAACGGTAAACAGTCCATGTAGGTGGTAGTGGAACTGGCCCTCCAGATCACTGCCCTCCTCCACAGCTCCCCCGTTCACCTGCGGCGGCTCCTCTTGCTTCACTGCCATCTCTAGAAAGCTGGCACCACCACCACCCATCTCTCTCTTCAGCAGGCCCCATTCCATGTCGTTCTTAAGGGACTTCACCAGCAAGTAGTGCTCATACATATCCCTCTGTTTGCTGGAGAAAGGGGGGTCGTTGTTGTTGTGGCTAAAAGAGGCTTGGCTCTCCTGGTCCTCCAGAGGCACGTCCCGCAGTAAGCTTGGCACCATGATGGTCTCATCCATGTTGTTGGCAGCGGCGATGAACCGGTTCATGACGTTGAGCAGCGAGTGCTTGTTGCAGTGTGTGTCGTTGCTGAGCTGCATCATGGCAAAGCTGAAATTAAAGGGGAACCATTCAGAACTTCAAGACGCATGGCGATGCACGAAGTGCAACAATATGCTATTATCTCTTACAACTAAAACCATTATAAATAGACGTGAAACTTTTACGTCATAACATTGTCCCAGTCCAGACATGCCTGTATTGCATAGTAAATGCTCTAAAACAGTCAAAAAAAGCAGTTGTGGTTTAACGGGCCCTAGTTCAGTTTGTAAACACGAATTAATTTACGTTTCAGCAGAAAGGCGTTAAAACGCTTGAATAAAGCGCGATTTAATTGAAACCAACTCCGCATTTTTTCACCAGAGAACCACGCAGAACGATTTAGAGAGCGACCATTTCGTTCCGGGTTTAAGCGGTTCAAATGAGTCATTGTAAACTAACGACCTAAAATGAACAATTCGTTCTCGAAATAAAAATGTGTTTTAGTTATTCGCGTCGCTAGTGCAAAAGGCTATATTACATTGATGTTGCAGATTTTCAGATATTAAACCGGTAGTACAGAACAACGTAACACTACTTGTGTTTCTAAATTTAACGTTAGGAGACAAGCTTCGCCTTCTTAGCAATGACGCAATAAATCTAAAAAAGGAGGCGATTGACTTACCTGATTGAAACCTGGTAATTTACTGGTATAGCCCAATAGTAAACTACAAAAGACTGACGAAGTAGCCAACGCTTTATTTCGTCCCAGTAGAGAAGAAAGTTCCCTTCTTCTGTGAGAGCAAGGGGGAGACCGACAAACTTATACTGTTGATGTCAGGCGGGGAAACGTCATGTCCAATGATTTTACCGCGATGAAAGTGATTGACAGGGCATCGGACCAATCAAGCGCCTGCATTTTATCCACGTCCATGTTTGTCGTTGCCTTTTACAAAATGCAACCTTACATGTAGGTAACAGTTTTAATTTAAAATTGCTCATAGTGATTTAAGAAATAGCGAGATAACCCCCAAACTAATATAATCGCTCAGTCCATGTCGTATGAACCTTCTTTTAAAAATTATATTTCTACTATAGCAGCTTTGCTGCGTTTCATTAGTCTTTCTCTGCTCTTCTGAACATGTATGCACAGTACTGGTGAAAAAATAAACAGATAGCGCCATCTAATGGCCATACGTCTGAGCCCATGCGCATATAAAAGGAGTTTATTATACCTATGCATTTTACAGTTTGCTTTGCAAAAACGAAAAATAAAAAAAACACACAAAAAAGCTGTTGAAAATGTTGTCTTACAAAGATATAAATATCTTTAGTATTTAACATGCAAAATACAACAAAGTGCAGAGGGTGGCTTCTCTGACTTATGACCAAAACTAATGAGCATGAATATGTTGACACATATGCTGAGAAAAGAATAATAGTTACAAACACAACCTGGATTATACATCACCTAACTTTCCTTACACATGCAAGGATGATTTAAATACTTTTCAACTCTGGCATGGACAATTTTGATAGTTGTACTAGCCTTTTATGTACATGTTAAATATTGTTACCTGATCAACCAGAGCGACAACAGATTTCACATTTCACAGACAAAGTTAAAGAGACACTACACATTTTCTGTTCAGCACATTACAGTCATGACTTTGGACAACCTTATAATAAACACTATCACTGCTACATTAATAAAGACAGCAAAGAAATGGCAAATAACCACATAATTTTCAAAGCAGCAATCCAAATAGAAATAGACATACATGTATTAAAACTAGTTCTTGAAAATGAACTGGTGCTGAAGAACAGAACTCCATATGTAACGTGAAGTGGATAACAACATAATGACCCAAATTATCAGGGCATTTTCAAAACATGCTTTTTGGAAAATGTTGAACTTTAAGGTTGTATGCAAGAAAGGTTACAAATGTGTTTACTAGATGCAAAGTTTTAGCATGTGTTAATTCCACTGAAACAAGAGTCAAGGTGTACAATACACTGTTTACTTCATAACTGACTGCGTGTTCCTGGTTTAACACTGGCTTAAAACATATGCACTTTCTACAAACTTCTGTATATCAAATGACATTTGCACTAGGTGAACACTTATGCAAAACTATCGTATCCCTTTGGAATGGATTATTTCCCTTCAATGTAATTGCCAAAAAGAATTATTCTTTAAAAAGCAGTCAGAAATTCTCTAAAATGAAATGTTTAGCTAAGGCACACATACAAAACACTGAAACTAAATGCTTTCCCTTTGTGTCATGTTCAGATCTGCAGATGATACCCTGTAAACAGACAGAAGTAAGAATAAGAACCCCTAGATAATAACCTAGAAATGCATTTTGTTCAATAATAATATTTACTAAAATGACATAAATTGTGGCATTTAAAAAAGAACACCCTACAAGGAAGAGTAAGAAAATGTACCTACACCATCGCTACACCATCTCATATTGGTTGTTGGTGATATAGCGAGACAGGCAGCACGCCAAGAATATCCCAATGAGCTGAGGAATTGAATGTCACAAAAGTCATTATTAGGTGGATTGCAGACCAGAAACATTAAAAAAAATAACTGGGCTTGACTAGTACCTGGAAGAACGCAATTCCAAAAGAAATTCCAGCAATAATGCCAAGATTGGCCTCCATCGTTGTAGTCGCCAGAGCGAAGCAGCCCTAACAAGAGAGGACATTTATTTTATTCCAGAATTGTAAATAAGGCTTATGATTTCGCTGATTTAGGAGTATTCAGAGACAGTTCTTACCTGTTGATATACCACTAATGCAGCTGTTTTAAGATCCTTAAGTTCTGCAGATGTACAGTTTACACCAGCAGTCACGTTACAGCAGCTTTTGGGGATGCCGTTTTTTTTGAAGTAATCAGTGTTTTCCCAGCTGGTGTAGTTCTTCTCTCCACAGCAGTGCAGCTACAAAGAACACAATATTAAATTATGGTACATGTATGTACACTTAGGTTTGCTTTAAAAGCATCATCATGAGCCCAGAATGCACAAAAGTGCTTTTGTGCTGCTCTGCATTGAAGACTTTCATGTATAGCCAATATATTTGCTGTATCATATTGTTCCATTTCTGTGCCATTCCAAACAAATACTTTTTATAATATGTACATTCATGTAGTAATAACCATCACAAATATATTGATCATAGGATTTTTCATGCATGTAGCACAAATAGTAATTTGAAATGTAGTTTTTTTTTTTATTAAGATTTTTACCAGATGTAAAAATTTAAACTCACATTCACTTAATTTTTAATTATTAATGCTGGATATAGGATTTTCACTAGAACAATAAATAATAAGCAGTACGTTTAAAAAACAAAACAAAAAACAAATCAGATATAGCTTACCAGGAAAATCCACCTTACAGGAAAATAGGTAATTTTGAACTATTTTTTGTTATTATATATATATATATATATATATATATATATGCATTGGCAGATACTCATGGTCACAGTATCGATATCTACATGAAAAAGTGATATCGAACAATTCCTAATTTTGTACTGCTTCTAGTAATACATGCTTACTGTTCTCTGGATCCGGTCCAGATCTTCAGTGTCTTTACCAGTGTAGGCTAATTCAGCATGTTTATAGCCATCTTTAAGCACTGCTTTAATCTAAAAAGAGTAAACAAATTATTTGGCTGTAGATAACAGATGGCATATGAATATGTAAAGGTAAAAAAATATATAAAAAATTACCTCATGTCTGAAAATAAAGCCTGATATACCTGCCACTACTTCGGCTAAGAACACAAGAATCAGGAACATAGCATACTACAAGAGAGGAGGGAGAAAGGGAACATGGTTAAAAACAATTAATAATAATAATTAAAGAGTTTATTTCTATTTATTTTAAATGAGGCTTGAAATGTTATATATATAACCAAAACCATTATATATATATGCTAAATTAAGCTGTCACTCAGTAGGGCTAGCTAGTCTGTGAGCAAATGTTGGTCTCTGCACACATCCGCAAAAATGAAGTCAAAACATTTCGATCGCCCCCTGGTGGTTGGCTGCAATATAGGTCATAAACCCAGCCCTCTCCATGTAATTGAACAAGACAAAAATTTACACTTCATATACTTTTTTCTAAAGACATTTTGTCATTTTAAGTAGCATCATGCTGATGCATGTTCAAGTGTTCTTTTAGTCAGTAACATTTAGTTAAAACCAGGTGCAACATGATTTACGGCTGTGGGAGGGGGGAGTCTGTGCGGGACCGTGATACCAAGGCTCCACCTCATGATCACTACCGCGCAGACTCAGGCTCCAAATGATGTAATCAGTGCAAGATGTCAATGGTTATTTATGGAATGTTTTGGCTTCATTTTTCTATAGTGGAAGTGGAGAAATGTGACCTATCTTTTTCTTTTCTTCAGTCTATGGTCTGCAGTAGTAAAGGTTTGTAGGTTGAAGTGACCATTTAAAGGGGACATTACATGCAATTTTCTTGGTAGGTCAATTTTATGTCACATAAGAGGATTATTACTTAAGCCATCAAAGTATACCCAATTCATAAAACATGTTCCAGCTTTTTTTTCCACATATGAAACTTGTTTTATTTATTTTACAACGTACCAGCTTTAGCATCCATGGACTTCCACGGCAGGTCGCGAAGCAACCGAACAATCCGAAGATAATGATTATGGCTCCGGTCCCGATGAGGACATATGGTGCATTAGTGCCCTTGTCTGAACTCAGCAGGAGGTCAAACTCCAAATTTACCTTTCCCCATACTCCAACGGCCAACAGGATCATTCCTGTGAACTACAAACCAAGTTAAAAACTCTTAGACATATTCAAAACGTTATTATGTTTATGGATTTGCCTGAGGGATTACGCACTGTGCCTTGCCCATGCTGATTTTTGATAACACCCTTGCAAACCTTGTAATTTCAGCATCAAAAACTCAATTTAGAGTTTAAAGAGAATTAAATAAACACAGGGAATCTGGGAACGCTCAAGATCCCTGACAATATAAGCGTCCTTGACCTATTTAAAAACTGGTAAAAATAAATAAAAGCCAGGTAAAGTAAAAATGTATTGGGTTAGTAGTGCTTTTCTTCTTTACATAAAAATCATGACGTTGGTATTTATGTCACGTTTAGCAGATTAGAGCTTGACTTCAATAGTTATACATTTTCCAACACTATAAACAAACTAAATGGCAAGCCATTTTATCTTAAATTGTACCCAGCCTTGCTCATAGTAATTTCATTTTTAATAGTACAAATTCAATTAAAGAGCTTTACAATTTAATTTGTACTAGCAGCAATTACAATTAGAGAGCTCCCAAATACAATTCTTACTAGTAACAATTCAATCGTTGAGCTCTCTAATTCTAATTAGTAACAATTCAATTAGAGAGCTCTGTAATTAAAAATAAAAGTCAATGGAGACATATATGGCAAGCTGTTTTAGCTTAAATTGTACCCAGCTTTTCACAAAGTAGCTAATTTGATTTTTACTAGTTAGAATTCAATTAGAGAGCTCTCTAATTGGAATTGTTAGCCTACTAGTAATAAATTGAATTGTAAAGCTCTCTAATTGTAAGGCTGGGTACAATTTAAGCTAAACTGGCTTGTCATTCAAATTAAGCAGCCAAGGTTTTCTATACATTTCTACGTTATGTATGTGTGTATAGTGTGTGTAAACTTTTATACCCAACCTATTGAGCTGTGTGATAATTTACATTTTGTGATTATAAACAATTAAGCACTTGACACTTGTTAGTGTATAGTTTCTTAACGTGAATACAAG